GATGTCAGTCATCGAGAGCTTATTGTAAACACGAGTGTATCGTACCACGGACCCCGCAACAATATTCATAGACCACGTTAGAAGAGTCTGTCTTTTAGAAACTAATGAAAACGGGCGAAAACGAAGAGAATTTTTATGAAGTCATAAAGCAAGCAAAGACATCAAAAGAAAAATGGTCACTTTTCAAAAATATCTTTGCTATTCCGACAAATCAAAATAATACGTTTCAGCTTTACACGTATTTTAATGAAGCACAGAATCTAATAACGTTAACAAAACAAAGATGACAATGATTTTTATTTAATAACTATGCTTTCTCGGCAACAAAATATGTTCAAGAAATAAGCTTATTTTAATAAAATACTGAAAAACTCGATAATCTTTTGATGAGAAAAGCTAACATTTACACTTGATATTAAAAACGTTATTGTTTTTGAATTACKAATAAAAGATTAACTAAACCCACGGTAATCGAGACTGCTAAAGAATGGTTGTAATGTAATCTTTTTTTCGTTGGTAAGAGACGTAATTTACTAAAAAATTGAATATGTTTTTGAGCTAATGGACAAAAATCAGCGTTTTTCATTCGAAAAGACAGAAACTTTTCAAGACGTTTAAAAGTAGTTAAAAAATCCTTAGCGTAAAAATGCTACTAAGCTTAGCTGGGGATTCAATAACATTGTCACGAAGAAAACATAAAAATTCTCAGAGGAAAAACAATAAAACTAAACTAAATTCTATTAGGAAAAATGTCCAAATAAATGTCTTCTAAAGATGACAGCGCTAAGAGCGCTAGCTATTTACTTTTTTAGAGAAAAAACCCCCAGAAAAACCACTTAATTTTACACGAAACAATCAACAATTAAGTGAATGAATGAACTTGAAACAAGTMGACATGTTGCAATATGTTAAGAGGATATTATTTACACTGTTTTTTATTTCACTTTATAAGTAAAGGACGACGGTAAGTCAGAAAAGCAGCTCATCTAAACGACCACAGGTTAACTACCAACAATATTCCGAAAGAAAAATCCTATTATATACATATATATCACATTGTCTTTTTTAATAACTTTTTCTAAATTCGTAACATCGATTCTAGGTAATGCGTTTCGGAATTTCAATTTGAAAATACGAATCGTTTAAAGATTTAGTAAAAGGAAAGAGTTAAAAATATGTATTAATGTACAAATATACACATAAATTAGTATCTCTTTCTGTTGGAATCCTCAAGGCATCAAATTCCTAACACGATCACCTCTTACGCTTTTACACTAATTTTTTTTCGCACCTTTTCTTTGTTAGAACTTACTCTCACAGCGATATTCGATACTTTTTTATGTTTTGATTAAATAGATTCAGAGAGAGATCTAAAGTCTGTTCTAGACGAAATACAAGAGCTCTTGAAGTAAATTTTCTTTATACAGCTAGAAACCACAAAACAAATGTCCAAACTTCTTATCTGTGTCAGCCAAACCACAAGCTAAACTACACATGACAATGAAGGACTTTAGCGTAAACCAGACATCCCTCCATGCCTCAAGAGCTCAAAACTAGCCACTAAAGGGCAAAGAATAATGACACAAAGGAAACCATGAAATCAAAATGATTCTATTGTTTAGTTGAGTCAATCAGACTTGCATAAATACTTAGTACTGGACTAAAGATGAACGTATATATAAATAATTATGTTGTAATTATGTATTTGGTGTTTTGTGCCAGCTGCTATGCCTAGCTCCCCACTGAATCAAGGTATTGATGTAATGAAAAAGAATATGGTTAATTTTAAGTAATTTTTCTGTTTATATTAGAAAAAGACATATGAATGCTATCTCTTCTAATAACATAAATACGATATGTAATAATACTTTCTGCTTGAGTTTATAGTAATGTTTGTTTTACATCAAAAGTTATTAGCATACAACAGCTGACTATCTCAATTTAGACTTACTCTGGAACAAAATACCTCCACACTGTTCTAAAATGCATACAGATATAAAACCATGAAAATTATATACATAATATATATATAAATATACTGGACTAACACAATAACAATGAGAATAAATTTACATATGTTCAAGATTCAAACTGTACATTAATTTTTCATATATTTATTTTTCTTTGACATCTTATTTATTGTCATATTTTTTCATTTTTGAAAGATTTTAAGATAAACGCAGGACTACTGCTGAATACACAGTCAGAAAATCAGATATTAGACCACAGTGGTACACCAATACTAATAACAGTAACTTACAAAATTTCCATGCAGTCGTCTTGTTTCTCTTTTGCATTTTTAAAATCTCATTGAAATGAAAATCCATGCTGTCAGACAAATTTTATGATAAATTCCCAACCTCTTATTGGATATTGAATAGAACAGAGGAAATAGAACAAAACACTGTGAAAACTCTTTAAAAACTAAGGATCCCTTTTTTTTTCCTGACAACTAAAGGAATTGCATCAAAATCTTTTTTCCACTTGAGTCAAATGAATATATAAACAAAATAATTGAATATTAAAAAAAAAAAAAACAAAGAAAAAGGAGAACTGCATTTTTGTCGCCCATAGAAAAGATCAAAAAACAAAGAAAATTATCTCCATCCTAATGATAAAACATTGTTTTGAGAAGTGAAGACCTCAGTGATAGGCTGTCTTTTATGTTCAATTAATTTTATGCAAACAGAACTTCTAATGCTGCAGTTAATTATTGACAGTATAAACTGAAAAATAAATAAACTGGAAAATGAGAGTTTAAACAACTTCTAGTACTTGTGACAACAAATAAATCAAAACATATTTTCATTTTCGTTTTTTTTTTTGTTGTAAAAGTTTAAGATATACGAGTAACTGTATTTGTAACTATATTGAATGATACAATAGCCTTGGAAGGACATTAATTTAAGCATTAGAAATAAGCCTTAAAATTGATTTCCCAATAAGGGGAGATTACTAAATCTAAGGATTACTCAGGAATGAGCAACAAATCACAGACGAATACCATCACTAGTAAGTATACAACAGGTACATCACATATACTATACTATCAAATATATGCTTACAATTTCTATTTCATTGACTGGTTTTCAAACAACAGGTACCCACTTACTCAAAATTAAGTAAAGGATGATTTTCAATGATGAAATATCTGCACAGTTGACAAAAAAACATCATTTTCTTAAAAATCATAATAAATCTAAATGCCAGAGAGTAGGTTTAATCTAGATACGAATGTATATATATATATTGATAGTCTTTACCATGAAAGCACATATACTATTGAATTATTCAAACACATCAAAGCTTGATTCAGTAAAAGTTAACCATAGAAAGAGCGGTTATTTTTGGACTAGCACTTCATTAATGGTTACCTTATTCCTTAATATCTTCCCAAAAATGAGGTTGAAATTTTTTAGTATTTATCCACAACCATAACCGTAATAATTTAAAGGAAGTAGCTAGTCTGCGCTTCAGTCTAGACTGTCACTTATTACACAAACACCAAATTGGAAATGCCAAATAGAGAAAATTAATCATAATGCATAAGACTTTTACTTATTGGGAATGGAAGAGACCGTATTTTCCATGATTTTGAACCAGCATTGAATATACAATCTGGAAAACTCACTTTGAGAATAGCATGACAATAGGGTATAATAATAAAAATCTTAACACATCAAGGAGAAAAGATTATCACACTGACTTGTTGATGAATCATTGAAAATAAAACAAAAAAATGCTTTCTCGTGATTTAAAGGATTCGGGAAATCTTCAAGGTTCATCATTTTGACTCTGATGTGTTTTCGGGTCGTATAAATCTGATATCATTTATTTTGTCGTAATGTTGCGATTGACGCTTCCACAAATCCTCAGCGTCCCAAGTGGTTACTTACTTTTAAACATTCGAAAATCAAGATTTCGAATCTTCACACAGCTTAGGAATGTTTTTCACTTCCTTTGCTAATGAGGGACCAGTGGGCTTTGGCGAAAGTTTAGGCTAAATGTTCTCGCCACATTATCAATTAAATAGTTGAAGAACACTGGAGCTATTTAGTGCTATCGTCGGGGTGATTTTCTGATGGAACTCGAGAAAATATATTCACGCATTAAAATCCAGATTATTCGATGCGGCATACATCGTACCCGTTTGAAACAATGCATAAAGCCATGGACCATGGATCGTAAATATGAACCAGTTCTAAAATACAGAGGCCAGATAGTCTGTTGAAGCTGGGCAGTTGATGGACCTCTGATAAAAAATAAGCCTAGTTATGTATTATTTCCATCGACACGCGTTCATTTAAAAGCGCGTTTGGAACTCTGCTATTCATTTCTAAATTAATTCAGTCGGACCCAAATCTAACGTAAAGCATTCCGTTGCTTGGTTGGGCATCGTAGTTTCAGCTCTGATTGTCTGTCATTTAAAACGGAGCAAATTCCGCAAGAGTCTTTGTACTACTATGTCACCAGTCTGATACTCTTCAGCCTCGCGACTCGATCGGGTTTATACTTGCGTGTTTGAATGACTATACAAATCATACGTACTCTCGAGAGATTTGCTTCTTGAATCGATCACACGCGGAAATACAAAAGCCATATACTTTTAAAAAGAAAGTCAGGGCTTCATTCATCATCGACACAAACATTACGACTTGTTGACTATATGCTGCACTCACTTAAAAATACATGAATTTCAAAGTTCAACAATAACTATAATTCAACAGATTCGACATTGAGCACGTCGCGCCGATCACTACATTTACGAGAACTGTTCATCGAATACGCCCCAATGGACTAAATTTCACACCAAAAATCATGCAAGTTATTGTCTGGAGATCGTGGAGCATGGTGCTGAGATGTGGAATTAAAATACCAGTGATAAACGCAAGAGTTATCCGGCATATTCTCCCAAGCGCAAATGCTATGAATCTGACAGCTGAATTGAAAATTTAATGTCCAACGCACAATAAACTATACAAAAAATTAAATAGCCGTACCTGTGCCATTTGGGTAGTCTGAAGAGAGACCATTGATTGAGGTATAGTCGTATACATATGAAGAGCCGTAAGAGAAGGCAGGAATGTTTTCGTTCTGTGTTGAGGCTGTGTAGGTCGATAGAGAGTTGGCTGTAGTGTAGGTATATGGGAAGGAGAAATACGCTGCGGCAGCATCGTTTGACACAACTGTTGGTGATTCTGAAACATTCGCGGAAGACACCGCGTCAGTCCTATAGTAGCGGGCAAACTTAGATTCGTCGAAATTTGTAGATGACAGTCCACTATCCATTTTAGCCCGTTTATTGGGGCTTTCTATACCAGCTAACATGCCCTCAATCTCTGCCATGTTTTCATTGAGAGAATTTCCTCTTGACTAACCACGATTTTCTTGTCAGCGGGTAATATCAACAAAACTGTCTCGACCCAGGTAATCTCTTGTTGATAGAACGAGCCTCGTGATTGGTTCATTTTTAATCATCCAATCACGATCAAGGTATTTATCCATTCACCGACAGCGCGCCATTTTGGAAATGCAAAAGTTGAAGTTCCGCTCGATGGAGAAGAAGATAAAAACTGTCTAGAACTGCCTTCAGATGTCGGTTTAAAATCGTCCTATGACACCATGAATACCACGAAGAATTCGTCCTTCTACAGCAACGTTTCTAATTGTATAATTTGCCTTGATGAAGTGCGGTGTAGAGGCAAACTGAGCGTGTGTAAGCACTGGTTTTGTTTTGGTTGTATCCTTGAATGGTCCAAGGTAAACACGACACATGGTTGACCATTAGATCAATCGTAAAAGCCTAAATTATACATGTCTTTTGCATTTTTTTTCCAGAATACCAATACTTGTCCCGTCTGCAAAACAAGGTTTCGTTCGATATCGAAGGTATGTTATTAAATGTTAATCTTGTTTGGATTATTCGCACAAAAATTTGAAACTAGATCACAGAGAATTATCCAAACCCCTCTGTTTATTTATGGCATCCGAAATAACTAATTGAGTACTTGATATTTTAAGAATTTTAGTTTACAAAGACTCTGCTTGGTCCCATCTTTTTAAAAAATGATCTTTTGTGATGGATATGATTACGAACCAAATAAAACGACATTTTGATCAGCAAGGCTATGTGACTGTAGGGGTGCAATTTACGGGTGTTTGAAAGACTCCGATCGATTGTTTTGGCTAGGACTTAACGATTGATTAGAATGAAGCTCAGACTGATGATGTAAATTAGTAAGCTCTTTGAATTTCTACCGACAAAAGGTGGACAAGCACTAGATATATCTGTCCACCTATAAAAATAGTTTCGATGTAATAAAGAAATCGTCCTTTTGTGAGTGTAGCGCCAGTGGTTAACAAACCTTTGGCCCACGACTTATGATCGAATTTGAATTCAGAAGTCATACAATAAAGAAGATATCAAGTTAATGTCTACATAGCTTCTTAAACCCCACTTTCATTGGTCATACTCATGTCACTATCTGAAAATCAAGAAATGATAAATTATATCAGTCTTATGACAATTTTACTGCAAGTGCAAGACTAAAGTTCGTTGTGGTTAAACTGAGCACCTCGAATGGAATCAGTATTATATATATCTGGTGTTATTTGATGACATAGGTTCACCTAAGTCCCCTGAAGTCTCCGCCCACCAAGGTACGGGTTCCTGACAAAGATCAGCAGGTCTGGATTGATGACGATGATGATGGTGTCACAGAGGAGATGCTGTATGACATTCAGAATGAGTTGCAAGAGGACATGGATGATGACTATGAACCAGGTCACATGTCATACCCATATGTAAGTAAAGAAATATCTTCTGCGCATTAAGTAATAGATAGTTATCAATATCCTGAGGGAAATTTAAATGTATATGAACTTCCATGACATTTAAATTATTTATTTTCAGTGTATACAATAAAAACTGTCATATAGGTCTGCATGTTTATATATATGCATTATATATCATGTCATTATAACTGACATTACAAAGATAAAAATATTTTCTATACAAAATCATGTTCTATTGTTTCTATAATTTGCATTTTTTTGATCTTATGCTCCAACTTTCAATAAGTGAAAAATATATTCTTATTCATATATGCCTTATGGCTGATGTTCAGTTAGAGTTAAATGAACACTGGTCGGCAAATCCAACTGTAATTTTAATAAGCATCGTCCACAGGATGCTCTAAGATTATCTCAGTTAAATCTTGAAAAGTACCGCCCTAAAAATAATGCTGAACTCAGTATAACTTTGTGTATGTATCTGTTTTTATTTTTGTCTGTTTTATTTTGGCCTACAGTAATTGGTTTGCTGTTGTGGTGTTCCTGCCAGTATGTTATGAGTGAAGTTAAATAAATAGATAAAAAAGAATTGAAAAAATATCCAATGTTATTTTTGTAAAAATATCACTAAACTTAATTTTGTGCTACCACAAGTAATTATTTATAAACTTACATTTTAAAATAATTATACTAATAATGATAATAATAATAACAATAATTATTATTATTATCTAGCAACTTCTATGATATCTTGTTGCTCTGAAAATATCATACAAGTAAATTCAAGCAAAATTTATGGCAAACAGAAGTGACCAGTGAAAAATTCTTTAAATCTAGTAAAAAGGATCTCAAAAATCTCCAAGCAGTACATAAACGAAAGAATATTTTTCTTTGAAGAGAAACTTTGCAAAAGGTAAAGTGAAATAAAGGAAAGCAATAAAAGCGTGATAATGACTACCAATGATTTGGGTAAAGAAAAAAACAGGAATCCCAAACTGTCTAATAGTATCTTTTAGAACATTATTTCCTAATGATATAAATAAAGGTTGGTTTTTGTTGTAGTAGAACAAATAACTATTCCCTTTCCACTACTCCTATCGTACATCTTTAAGACTGAGCACAAAATGTTAATTCTAATTTGTTTAGTCCAAAAAATCCTATTTAACTCTATTTATTTTTTCAAGACGCTTTACCTTCTTCTATTATTCTTATCTATTTCATTTCTAGATTTATCTCAAAAATGATATTCACCTCACGTAAAATACACATTGTACTCTGAAGTGTCTTCTTACTCACATATTTTCCATGTAAAGTCGTAGTTTTGATGACCAATTCTCAATTGAGTATTATATAGATAAATATCTACTCTACTCTCATAGCTGGCCAATAAACTCTCATTATGGGGTCAATGACATGGCAGGTCGTAATATCTAAATTTATCATCAGTTGGAGAACTTATTACAGAATACCACATACTGCCCTTTTGAAATTAGCCCTCAAAAGGGAGTTGGCAGTATTAACAAATATTAAGTTTATGTTAAAAGAAATAAAATAACTTTTTAACATAGAAACAATAGTTAAACATGTTATTCAATCGTTATTATAATATTTTCATATGTTTACGTTTATTTTCTTTTTAGTATCAAATTTTTCTCTTCCTTTTATTCTTTTTCTCTTTTCTTTTCTTTTCTGTTTTCTCTTTTTTTCTCTAATCACCCTTTTTCCATATTTCATCCCTTCTCACAGTACATAACAGATATTCAAGATAACAGATTGAAACTTCAAGGTCCTTGTCTTATCTTAAGCCGCATTCATTCCAGACAGGTTCAAAAACCCTTAGTAAGTTCTAACAACCCCCCTTTGGTCCTTACATTTGTTTAGCAGTTATTTACAACTCCACACAAATGCATGTGCCAGGATACTGTTCAGCTCAGTAGGATCCTAACGCTCTTTTTGACCTCACGCCGGGAATGCATCCTGAACTGAATTTCTTTTCTTGATTTCTCGAGTTTAATTATTCCACGTAATCAATGAATCCATTTACGAAAAAAAAAGAAAGACAAAATACATAAAGACCTTTTTTTTAACTTCATTTAATTTTCCCCGCATGCCAAAACAACGCCTGTTCACTTATTTTACTTACTCCATCTACTTTAATAGAAAACAAGCTCAAACTTACCAAATAAGGACATCTTTCGGTATTGGAACAGATCAACTGGAACTTCAAAAGCCATTGAATTAAGCCTATCGTTTTTTTGTTGAATGTTGTTCCCCCTTAAGTTTTTCCATTCAAAATTACATTAGAAGTTGGGAATCTAATCCTCTTTTGGAGTTCCAATATGCAACTAATAAAAGTTGGGCTCTTAATCCTGTTTCAATAGGTGTTTCAGACTTTCCCCGGTTTAATTCTCCTTCCATGTCTGAACAGAGACCTAATCTCATTAATTAGTATACATTTAAAATCTGATTTGAAAATTTTTCCCTGGATGACATAACTGCATTCTGGTTTCTCGTGTCCTCAGAAAAACATTTGATTTGGCCACCGCAAAGCGTAGCTGAAATTCTAAGCGGTCTTTTTGAAAATAGGTTTAAAATTTCGGACAATTTTCTCATTTTTAAATGACAAAGGCATTCATAAAGTTTTTTTAAGCGTGTTTTGTCTAGCTTGCCTCGGTTTTAAGAATATCATGCATTCACCTCGTGGATTTTCGATTACTCGATTTGAAATGTGTCTACATCTTTTATAGATGTTTTTAGTTTTAATGCGTAGAACATCCCTGTTTCCCAATCTCATTTAGTATACATTCATTGAAACAATTTAACTGATTGCATTAGTAATTGGACGGGCTTTTTAATGTGTATTTAGATGTTGTACTACGATTTTAATGAAATTGTTAGAGAATTCCGTTGTACACATAAACAATTCGTCTCAGTTTGCAGTTTCAACTCCTGCAGTTCTCCAATAACCAAAAGCTTTATTTTTTGCTTGTATTTATTTATTTATTTTTCACAAAAACTAAAACGGCCATAGGAAAAAACATTCGAATCCAAATTAACTAATATAGGTGTTTGTCAAATCAGGATAATCCGTCATAACTCGAGGCTTTTTCGGCAAAACTTTCCATCAAGCCAAACAGCAAAAACAAGCGCTTCACACGCACGCGTTCCCAGAAACCGCCATAAAAATGACCAATCACGACACGTGTTTGTGTCACAGATTTCACCAACGAAAATACCTCGCTTCTAAATCCTTATAAACTCCACTTGCATTTCTTAACGATTTGAGTTTCAAAAGCCGGGTTTTATCCGAAAAATTTTCGACATACTCAAATGGGAGTCGGTTTCAGAATATGTAGCACGCAGCGTCTGGAAGAGCGATAAACCTAAATGGCGGTAGCGTTCGTATCCTAACCGACTTGACCGCTCTAGCAGGTGCTTCGACTATTACGCCTTTAGGATGCTAAAATGTCTTTAAAGAGTGATATCGGGCGATAATATTGTCAGCCAAGACTTCAAAATAGATTTATATATTCATACTTATTCTGTGAAATTCTTTTTAATTTTCTTTTTTTCTTTCGCCTTTCTTTCTTTTTTTTTTTTTTCCTTTCTTTCTTTCTTTTTTAAAAATCTTATTTTTAATTCTATTATTTTCATTGTGTGACATACCGCAATATAGAACACAGATTTCCATGCGAAAGTATTTCGTCTTTCGTTATTCGATGTTTTCATTTAAGATGTCCATTTCACAATGTCTGTCTATATCCATTCTTTTTCCTTCCTCGACTCGATGTTCTTAATTTGTTTCATGCGTTCTTCTTAAACTGAAAACGAATAAAATACTATAAAACAGATTTAACTAAATATGGCAACCCAGATTCGTAATCTTTTTCTTTTCTTCTTCGTTCTTTTTCTTTTCCTTTAATAAAAAACTTCCACATCTATATAAAGCACTGGAAGTCGAAAGACGGTTGGAAAATGAGCTGACGGAAGGAGGATTGTGAAAGGCGCGAACGACACATCCGATTTCCGTCATTATCGAGATTGCCCACCATCCTTCCATCCATCTCACCACGCCGCCAAAAGCCGGCTCATCAAAATATCTCTAGTCAAAACTAAACTTATATTTGTATTTCTACAGGTCAATACATCGCAATGTACTGAAAAACTCCTTAAGCCATTTTTAGAATAGATCTTTTATTTCTTTAGTATACGTTTTTTTCTTTCCTTTCTTTCTTTCAATTTCGGCCCTTTTTCTAGTCCCATTTTATGTTCAAATACCTAGACTGATATCCTAAATTTCTTTAGCATCGAACAAAATCGCATATTATTAGTCAAGGCACGAAAACAAATRGATAATGTTTATTCCTTTTTAAAAGAACTGTTGCCCGAAAAACTCAACCCATGTTTAAATTTCCGCTGTTCTTTGACAGGATCTTGACGAATATGACCTTGAAGATTCTTTCATTGACGATTCAAACCTATCTCAACCCTCCAGTCATACACCAGAACGATTTTTCCTGGCTCAAGAATTGATGGAAGAAGAATATGCTTTTGTTACTCGAAACAGTCCCTACATGCTTCGCAGACGATCTAGACGGAGGAGTCCTAGTACTAGAGGAAGTGATGTCATGATAGACATCTGTGCTCTAAACAAGTAGGTTTGATTGACAGTTACGTTGGAAAAATCCCTTACTTAGACGGGTATGATCCCAGCTAGTTTGGTGGTTAAAGCGCTTTTGGGCTGAGAGCTGAGAGGCGTTGGTTTGAGCCCTACCTTTATTTAGTCTCATACCAATGCAGTTTTATCTGTGGGTTCTGCGCTCYCTCCATCCCTCTCAACTTTATAGACCTCCTTACCTTGGCCGTAATGATTTTTCATTTAAGACCACGTGTCATTCCCTAGAGTATCATTTCTTTGTKTAACGGTTGCGCTGGCATGAGAAGACACATCAAAAAGGATGCAACTTATACAAAGGATCTTATTTTCAAGGGAATGTCGCGTGGCCTGAAATGGGAAAACATTAAACCGAAGGTAACTCCGGAGGGGTCTTTTGGCCTCTAAGTCACTAAAACTATGGGTTATTGTAGGTTAAATTATAATGTGAGCCTCAAAACTCGCTTGGATGCAAAGGGAAACAGGAAAAATAGAAAAGAAGTCRGACTTTTTTTCGATGGAATTCAGTGTGTCATTTCTTTTGTATTTTCCTTGCATCGAGATAATACACTGGAAAGCACTCATGGTTGGGTACGCTGCTAATCGTGCCACCTCTCATCGCTGTGATTATAGGTTCAATTCTCGGACTCTACATTACCTGTCTGTAGAAATGCTTGTCGAGTTTTTCCTGCGCTTTTCTACTGTTTTCCTTCGGACGCGAAAATCAACTTCTAAACCCCAAATCGATCGTGGAACGAGGGCTATGCGGCATTAGTATTGACCTCGTAAAACAGTAATAATGACAACATCGAATTCCTTCCAGTGCATACATTAACTCATGCGGTTAAATTATACGCGAAAGAAGATCAAGTCAAAATGTCCAGTGCATACAACAACTAACGTGGTCAAATTATACGCAAAAGAATCAAATAGAAATTAAATATTCAGTAATTTAAGGTTTCGGCAACATCTTTCGTGCCACTTTGCCAACCCCTCATAACGACATAAWTGTTCGTTATCATAACGGGCAGGTCGGCGTGTAAGGTTATTTAAATCCCTTAATTATCTAGTTGACATGGTAGTACAAAAAAAAAACTACGTCCCCCACCCACAGTCTTAGTTCAAATCTCGTTTTGTTATGTATAACTTTTTCGGTTTGTCTTCATGAGCGGCGGCAGTCGTCTCCTCATTAGTAGACTAGGAGGCACTGGGTTTAGACTCGGTACGGGATGTAGGATAAACGTGGGACCAATTACTTGCTTGCATGTCCGCTAATTTCTTTGTTCGTTTCCTTTTTTGGAAGAGTAGGTGGCACTCGGCCTCAGTACGGGATGTAGGATATCCATAGGACCAATTACTTGCTTGCATTTGCGCTAATTTCTTCCTTCGTTTCCTTTTTTTGGAAGAGTAGGTGGCACTCGGCCTCAGTAACTGATGTAGTATACGCGTGGTCCCAATCACAGTGGCTTGCGTGCGAATATACGCGACACTTCGCGACTCGCCTTTCCCTTATGAAAGGTAGCAGTTGACACGGTTACGGGTACGGAATGAAGGATATCCGTTTAACTTAACACGACTAACAATCCTTACTACTGATCCAATCAGATTACTAGTACRATAAGCGAAGGACAATGCTGACAAAAATGATGGTTCTTTCTTCCTTTCTCTTTTCTGTGCAGTATTGAAGAAGACRCCGTGTTTGAGGACATCAGTAGCGACGAGTCATGCGATTCTTCATCCACAGACAGTAGYCTTAGCGATGCAGATGAAGAAGSCGACGGTATGTCAAGCATCTATATTATGCCTTTTTATACACGCCTCTTATCCTGGTTTCATACAAGAAAGGGAAAAATGAAAAGAATTCCCCACCTCTCCCCTCCCCTCCGTTCCCCCAAACAAGGTTGTGCACTTTAAATAACTTCGGCTATTTAGAATCCACATTGAATAAAAATCCGTAAGGTGAATGGTAAAAATGTGACAGACAATTATTGGCTCAGTGTCAAAGGGTGGAAATTCTTAAGCGTTCTTCCAAAATTGCCCACGTTTTCTTAGATTATGAAGTCTGGGGGATTTCCTGGAGGAAGAAAAGAAASTAGACGTTTTTTACCGGCCATACAGTAATAAATTTAAGTTACCCGACTGGAAGAAAGTTTTAATATGGTCCATGACATCTGAGAACGTTTCAAAAAGAAAAACCAGGAAATTCTGGTTATGAATGTGACAATCGTGAATTCGCCTTAATATGGCTCTGGTTAGAGTATGTCCGGTCAAGGTTGCATYATTGTTATTATAGCCTAGGTGAGTCAATCGATAAAATGATTGGGAACCCTGTGGGAATTCGAGACCTTGATTAGATCCAAAATAAATGTCAAGTATTAGGTCAAATATGAACAGGGAATCAAACGGCCTCTTSGTCTTATTTGGTTTTGCCAATCTAATCTTAATAGMCCTATTTTTTTATTTYAATGGGCAGAATCAAGTCAGCGGACAAAGAGCACCCGTTCATCCAGAAATACTCAATCTCAAGACCCCAGACGAAGTATTCGGTCCCAAGTCCCAAGAAGGAGCACTCGTTCCCAAGCCCCGACGAGAAACGCTCGTTCCCAGGCCTCGAGAAGAAGCACTCGSTCCCAAGCAAGACTTCAAAAAGAGCAGGTGAATTTGCGTGACTTTTAATAAATTAGATCTCCAAACAAATATGATATGTCAGTCAAAGTAACTGACATATGCTTATCAGATGTCTGTATAATAACCGTTCATGATTAACGAATAATTGGGAAGAAAACGCACGTATGTGGGCGTCGTATGTGGGCAGTTTTATCTGAGCGGTAAAAACCTTGTTATTGTCTTAGAAAATATTTATCACTTTGAAACAATTCATTTCGAGAAAATAAACAAATCTGAAGTCTATTAAGAATAAAGACGTTCTGTCTAGTTGTRTATTGAAAGCCTGTTCCAGTCAAATAGACCTCGCTTTAGCTTGAGCGCCTTCATGTTTTCCCATTTCTGGACGAGTTTCTTTGTTTGAGTTGTATCCATATTAATGTGTCTTTGATGCCACCTTTAAACAAAGAAATGATACTCTAGGGAATAACATGTGGTCTGAAATTTAAGGTGGCTCTTCTTAAATATAACGTTCAAACATCCTTTTATCACGTCGCAAAAAGTCGCGGAAATCGGAAAACGTTTCCTCGATAAAAGATATGATTAGATTCGTAGTCGTGTCTCCCTGCGAAATAGGCGCGAGCCACCTTAAATTTCAGACCACATGTTATTCCCTAGTGTATTATTTCTTTGTTTAGAAGAAACACGAAGACAAATGAATATGGATACCACTCAAACAAAGAAACGTTTCCTGAAATGGGGAAACATTACGTCCAAGGAAAAAGAGGTCTGTTGAGGATTGATTGTAGAAAAACGTTTGGTGTGCGCTACTTTGCTTTAATTTGGCAAGACTCGTTTAACGTTTGTTCACATTAACAGGCTAGAAACAAAAGACAAAGACAAGACCAGTTGATTGCGCAAAACATCCAGGAGACTGGTTCTAGTGGGTGGTTGAATACGAGATCAACCAATGAGCGAGCAGCTGCAGCATCGGCAGCACGTGCCATAACTCAGATAACCAACCACAACAGGTATAATATCCTAGCTAAAACCCTTTCGCATTAATATCGAGTCTAGTGATCACCAAGAGAAGGTACATTTTTTATGTGGGGAAGACTGAGGATTTGCAGTAAACTTTATAACAACGGTTGTAAAACTCAGGAAAAAATTCAAGACCCTCCTATTAAGTCAATAAGGAAACAGGCTTCCTCTGGCTCAAAATAAAAACATTTGGCCCTCGACAAAAGTTTAACTTTTTACTGATGACCAGCCCCTCTGAATCTGAAACCCCACCCCAATAAAAACCTGCCTTCTCTAACTTTTGGTTTTTATCCACTATTGTCTAGCTCACCTCGTCAGACGCTTGAAGATACAGCAGGACCAAGTCATGGACGTCCACGTCATCAATACACATTAAGAACAAGAAATGATGATGATGATGATGATGACACTATTGATAGTGATAAAAGTGGAAACTCGCCCCTGCGTATATCTGTGGCTCGCGTGAAGGAGTATACACAAAGCGGTCCGAGAAAGTCTAGCTTTTCAAGGATTCGAGTTCCCTCGTCTTCTGAATCAGAATTAAGTGACTCCGTCGTCCTGACATCTCCAACGAAACCTAACTCGCAACAAAAATCAACTGGAAGCGATAACAGAAATTCGGCTGTTCCAAGAGATATGGGAATGTCTTTACCGAGTTCATCATATGTGGTGGAAGATGATGACAATACTTGCAATCAAAGTGAAGTTAAGAAATGGAAGAGAATAAGAAATGGAAAGAAGGAGAAAGGGAAAGAAAATAAGCCTTTGYCACGAAGTCTTTTTTCTCAGAGTGSATCAGCAGCGAGCTCTAATGATCCAGACTTCATTCCAAATTTATCCGACGAACTACCATCGAAGCGTTGTAGACTTGGTACAATAAGCAATAGAAACGTTAATGRGCAWCAAGAGTCGTCTTCTACAATTTCGAGGGTTACTCGTGCACAGATACAACGCTTGGAAAATARTTACGATCCTTTGGGCATAAACCTCAAAGGTTCTTCTAGTTCGTCACAGTCAAGTTCTCTTATTCCAGAGGGTGTTAATCATCGATATCTTTTGAGGACACGTATTCAAGGAAACCTAAATAATAGTGATGATGATTATGACAGTGATAGTGATAGTGATACGGGATACACTGGGAAACGAACAAGAAATAGTACAACAGTAAGAATGCCATCGGATGAACTACCATCGAAGCGTTGTAGACTTGRTACAATAAGCAATAGAAACGTTAATGAACAGCAAGAGTCGTCTTCAACAACATCAAGGGTTACTCGTTCGCAGATACAACGCCTGGAAAATAATAATTATCCTTTGGGCATAAACGTCAAAGGTTCTTCTAGTTCGTCACAGTCAAGTTCTCTTATTCCAGAGGGCGTTAATCATCGATATCTTTTGAGGACACGTAGTCAAGGAAACCAAAATAATAGTGATGATGATGATGATGATTGTGACAGTGATAGTGATACGGAATACACTGGGAAACGAACAAGAAATAGTACAACTATAAGAATGCCACATGATCACAAGGATGATACTACAGATGATGATGAGAGAAAATCCGAAGGCAAGGGGAATAGAAGGAAAAAGACGGTAAACAGGGCACATGATCGTGATGATGGGAAGCATTTTGGCAAGGTAAAACCGAAGGAAACCACGATGAGCAGATTGCAAAAGTGCAGGGATAATACTGGTGATGATGATGATGATCAAGTATCAACTGGTAAAGATGAAACATCTAGTGTAACCTGGCTAAGAGGAAAACCTTCTACAAATGATGATGATGATGATGATGATTACATCATGGATGATGAACAACCAAACCTCATCATACCAACCCCACAAAAAACGATCCATTTTCACAAGGCGTCAACACAGAATAATTTCGGAACAGTTTGACGATCCCTCAAACAATCAWGACAACCCACCTTATGACAGACATCTCCAAACACAATACCATCTCTCAAAATCTTCAAACAAAACTAAACCCAGTGATAATGAGAATAAGAAAAGTAGGGAAAAAGCTATGCCATGCAGAGGTAGCGGCATGCAGTTGGTAAAGGATAAAGTTGATGATGATGTTACACCAGAGTCTAGTGGCAGCAATCACRTGAGTGGATCATACTCTAGTAACAAGCCAACCGTTACAAGGACTAGGAGAAGAATAAAGGTGTACGACAGTGATAGTGATTAAGAAAATATCTAGTGTCTAATGCTGTTACACCAAACAACACCAGTGGTGGGAGCAATCACATGAGTGGATCATACTCTAGTAACAAACCAACCGTTACAAGGACTAGGAGAAGAATAAAGGTGTATGACAGTGATAGTGATTAAGAAAATATCTAGTGTCTAATGCCGATGTTACACCAGGCAACACTAGTGGTGGGAGCAATCACATGAGTGGATCATACTCTAGTAACAAACCATGTTGTGATAGTGATTGTACCTTGTAATTAGGTTTTCTGCTGCTGTCAATCAAAATTAAGGAGTTTGACTGGCAGCTCRCAAACACCAAGTCTGATAAAATTGAAAATTGCAGTAATGTTAGTATGAAGTAATAATACATATGCAACATTCACATTCTTACCTTATCATAGCCTGCGTTCAGTCYGTATAATTTCTCTTGAGAGAAATTATACCAGCTGACGCAGGCTAACCCTATCATTGATTGGTTACAAACAAAATATGCTCCAAACACTGAATGAAACAGGTAATTAGTATATGTAATAGGACTCCATGCTGTCCAATTAAGAAATAATTGGATAAGGAAAATTCCGAGGACTGACAAAATTGGATGAGGCCGTAGGCCGAGTCCAATTTGGCAGTCAGAGGAATGTTTCGAGTCTTATTATTTCTTGATTGGGGAGCATGAAATCCCATTACCTATTATTTATATAGCTGCCTAATTAATCCCATATCAACAAGACCTGTCCAATTAAGAAAATAATTGGACAGTTACCTATATGGTATTAAYGAGAAACTGTATAATTAGCATTGTTATTAAATGTAATGAAAATAAGTTTGACTAAACCATTTTAAATAAAAAGAAAGCACTTTTGAATAAAAAGGTAAATATAATTTTATTACACAATTCGTTTATTGTATTATTCAATGTGATCATTTCAAGTACTAATTTGACAAAGATTAATTATATTTATTGCGAATAATTTGTGGTATACTGTATGTACAAGGTAGATATTAAGTTGACAGTAAATCTAAGCATATAGACACAGTCAGGTGAATCTTGAACAATTCCTTAGACACTAAGAGGAGGGAGAAGCAGGCAGAAGTGGATAGAGCTGTGGCAAAAGACTGTGTGGTGGTGTTGCTTGGTCGTAAAGGTGCACTTAACCTGACAAAAGAATTCTTTATTTGTGCATTATGTCATTGTAACCATGTTGATGATATGGCGAAAGTTCATTTGATATGCCAGGGGGGGGAAGGTAAAATTTTTTGGGGGTTGTAAAGGGGGGATCTAAAAAATTGTCATGGGGGCCTCTCAATTTGAATTTGAAAATGTTCATGGGYCATTTGGGGGGCTTCGAAAATTAATTCCTAAGGGGRGGCCTGTAAAAAGATAAAGGTTTTTGAGGAGAAATCCTCATCCCCTCCCCCCCTGGCATATCAAATGAACTTTATCTAGAAATGGTTCAAAATTCACCTTGTGATGCATCCAAAAACTGAGTTGAAGTATAATTGTGTAATATGCCAAAAGATATCAATAAAMTCTAAGATGTGTGAAGAATATATGTTTATACCAAGCTTCCTATTATGAAGAATAAAGCTTAAATTACAAGTTTGTTGCAGCAGTTACAAAATAGTAAATATTTACAGACAACTATTTTCTCTCGTGCTATGCTAAAGCTAAATGTATACAAAATAAGACTGCTGCACAAAATCCAGCATACAAAAAATATAGCAAGTTGAATGGGAACATTCTTAGCAGTTGATAGCTGTACTATGGTCCTCTTTTTAGAAAAGATAACTTTTTTAAACGAAATGACTCTTGCCACCTTCGAAGGTGAAAAGAGGTGYAACTTTTAAGACTTTTAAAGTAGCTACAGTAGTCAGTTGTTACATGGTAATAGTGTTGTTATGAATATTCACAGTTAATATTTCAATAAGTTTTGAAGTTTTTGTGGGGGGAGGGGGGGGGGATCTTAAGCAAATTCAAGTGTTCCTGAAACCAATAAACTTTTCATACACTATATTGTGATGTTTAAGGTTAAGAAAGCAAGTGGAACAAAAACAATTTTCAAAATATAAGACAAGGGGTACATTGCCCTTTTTCAGAAAGCTAACAAACATTTTATGAAACTATATAGAAAAGAAAATTGAGACAAGATGTTTTAACTTCGTAGTGCTACTAAAAGAGGCCATTAGTACAYGAAAGGTAATAAACCTAAAGCTGCATGTTTCAATAATTCATGGTATTATATAATGCAAAAGTAAGATTTGCCCAACAAGCACTGCAAACAATATTAAATTAATAT